GGGGGCCAGCGCCGCCGAGCCCCGACCAGCCGCCCCCCCCTGCCGCCACCCGGCACGCAGCCGGCACCCAGCAAGGATGCCTGCGGCCCCAGCACCGCGGCCCGCAGCGGAGGTGACCCTACGGGGCGAGGAAGCCAGCCCAGGCCGGCGCTGCAGCTCCTCGCAGCCATCCACGCAGGAGCCGGGAGCCCACGGGCAGCGCAGCCCGTCCTGCAGAGGCACAGCTTCTGCGTTTGCAGCAGGAAGCGCAGCTGTAAAATGCTTCGAAATTGTCAACCTTCTGGCTAGCCGCAAACTGCAACAGCAGCGTGACCACGCAGAGGACGCAGCGCAGCACACAACCCCCCGCTTTAGCAATAACAGCCCTATTACGAGCAGACCTGACGCCACTGCTGACAGGAGGAAGGGAAGCTGACTCAGTTTGCTCGCAGCGCCCCGCAGCTCTTCACCCACACTAACCTCCTAACCCCGGGTGGCACTAGAACCAGAAAAATAAACTGGAAACAAGACAGCATCATTTCATATTTGGGGTCTGATGGTTCACAAACAGCTGACGACAAAGACGAGAGCAAGCCCGTGCTGAGGGCTGGGGAGCGCTACGGCACCCAGCTGCCGCGCTGCCGACGAGGCAGCGGGAACTCTGGTCGGGATCTCCCCCGTGCAGGAATCGCATTCTACCTGCTGCCAAACGGGCATCTCCGAACTGGCTGCCACGCACAGCGTAACCGCTGCCCCGACTACTCAGCTTTCAGAAGTAGGGACTGTTCAACATTAAACCCCAAACTATCGCAGCAAGCGACAGGAACAAACAAACAAAACCCACAACCCTCTCCTCCTACCCAGAAAGTGCTACTCCTGTTTCTACCACAGCCCTGTCGTGAAAGTGGGCACCAGTCACTTTGCTCCAATACCCTTGCAACTGTAAATTTGGGGGGAAGGAGGAGACAATTGGGATTGAAGGGAATAAATCAGAGCAGAGGCTGATGAGGAAGGACAGCAGAACCTGAGTACTCAGTATTTCACGTTAGAGAGAGCTTGGGCAAGGAATTTAACTGACTGTTCTCACTTGCAGAACCTGCATCAATGATGCCATTTTAAATTTAACCTCTTGTGGGCTTTGTCTTTAGGTTTAAGTTTCTCAGAGCACAAGAAACAATGCAAGCGCCAACTCTTTATAAGCAGTGACTGCAACCCATACAGGGTTTAGTGTTTCTCAGGAAAACACCAGTGTTGAAGACCTTTCGAAGTCTTACAAGGTTCATAGGCATAACCTCTCTTTCTAACAGGATCCTGTATCTTCACAGGATACTTGGAATGAAGCTCTCCCCGGCACTATGCAAGCTGAGCATTTGTTGCACCTATAGACTTTACCCATCCTTTCAGAGTCAGTCGGGAGACTCACCTCTCAATAAGTCTGAGAGCGGAGGACCACAATCCTCTGGAATTGTGTAGTCACCTTTCCCGATGTTTTCAAATAATTTATAGATATTATCCCCTTCAAAGGGGTACAGACCCGTTGTAATGTTGTATCTGTAAAGGCAGAAGGAGAAGCTGTATGAGGAAAAAGCACACAGAGCAGGTGTTCAGTTCTTACATGACTACGTAAACCAAAAGACGCCAACAGGAAACTGAAAGATGAACATTTGACAGCATTTGGAATGCCTCTTGAAACTTAGCCCTCCTTTATCACAGCCTCTTTATTCACATGAGTCAAAACCACCAAAACATCTCCCTGACAGGCTGGGATGGAAGAAACTTAAAAATAAATACTAGAGGTATTTGTGGTTTCTATTATTGCAGTAGCTGTGCATCTCGGATGCTGAGAAATGGCTGGCAGTTACTCACCAGGAGTGAAGATAACTTTCCTCAGAATTACAAGCACTTTGGGGAACATCCACCCATCCAAAGGAGGGACCAACACACGCGCGCGCGCCCTGCTCCCCCCAACAACACACAGAAGAGCAGCGATGACAGCAGATAGCACAAGACTGAGCTATTTGGGGGCTTGTACTTGTTTATTGCAACTCCCGGATGCTGCACGGGCACTTACAGTGTGACCCCTGCGGACCAGATGTCTACTTTAAAGCCTGAAAAGGTGTCAAGGCCATTGGCAATTTCTGGTGGCTGGAATGCTGGCGACCCTTGGCTTGTTCTGCACGTGTCGTCCTCTGCAAACGGATGCAATGCCTGCAGCAGAAGAGGCCGATTAGTTTCAAACTTTCAAGGGAGACAAATTGTAACTGTCAGAAAAGTTTCACCTGGGGGGAAAAAGGGGGGAAAACGCTGCTACTGAAAATTACTTACGTATCATAAGCACATGCCGCTACAACAACTACATGCCGTCAGTGACCACTCTTGCACCACTCCAACCTAGCTAAGACAGTCTTCATATACTAAGGACAAGGTTATGTAGCTTATCGCCATTTCACCACACTTTGGGTTTGTCCAAGACTGACGTCTTCCTTTATACGCTTCCCAGATGGAAGTTTTGTGCTGTTAGCAACAAGTGTTTTGCCAATTGCAATTAATATTCAGAGTCACTCTAGAGCACTCTGCAAGTTTAACAGAACAGAAGCCTAAATGCACAATAAATCATTTGACACCACAAAGGTGACCTAAATCTAGAATGTCACGCTTCCCACGTTCCCGACTTTGCCACAGTTCTCACATACCTCTGCTACGCCTAAATCAGATATTTTTAGTGTCCCATTGGTTGTTAGCAGGAGGTTCCCTGGTTTTATATCCTTGTGGACAATCCCTTGGCTGTGCAAGTATTCTAAGCCATCTATAAGCTGACAAAAGTACCTGCAGAAAGAGTTAGAGGAAAAAAGTCAAGCACTTCCATCGACTGAGACTATGTGAACTACTGATAATACATAAAGCAAAGAGTGCTGTTATTGGAAACAAGTCAAATACATTTACATTTGATGCTTAGGAACTTGAGATGGAACTGCGGTGTACAAGAAATGGTACTTAATCTTCTGACAAAGTCAGGAGTTACCTGCCAGAGCTCTGCAGCTGCGTGCTAACCACTTCAGACCCTGGGCTTCTCCACACCAAAGCCCTCCTCACAAGTCTGCGTATTTTGTAAGTGCTGAGCACCACACCGGCACAGACCTGATAGTTAATTCTGACATCTGCTTCAGTCTAGACTAAGTTAAGCTAGCAAAAAGATGCTCTTTCTGTGGCACAGCTTTCTCTAACCAGGGGTGGAGGAAAAAAAAAGTTTTCTTTAGCCAGTAGAAAAGTGTTTTGCTGGTACAGCTTACTGGCTGAGCAAAGGTAACGTGGATATGGTCAGAGACCACGGGCAGGCCATTACTGTAACGTAGCAAGCACTGCGCATTGACGGCCTGGCAACAGTCATGCATACACATCTTTTATCTCCTAATATCCTAACGTGCCTGTATTTCACTTAGGCTATCTGTAATCTCAGACACCTTTTTTAAATAAAACGAAAATACGGCCGTAACAGTACGTAGTTACCACAGATCTGCTGGTCTGCGCTGATTTGATATACATGACAATCTTCTTGCATCTATTTCAAAATCCTACGGTTTCTTTACTTGCAGAGTGAAAGGGGCTTCAGATTACCCTGTCTGCTAACTAAACAAGTTCACAGATGATGCTGGATATTGCCAATCCCTAATCCATCCAAAGACCTTTAATCTCTTTTCTGACACTGAACTCTACGGCTTGCCTCCACTTAGGCAGGGCAAGGCCTCACAGATTCCTCCACTGCACCCATCTTCGCTGAGCAGCAGAGCCGTAGGAGAGGGGCCAGAAGGGCTGTCATGCATCTCATGAAGGAAAACAAAAGTAACAGAAAATTCAATAGAAAGATGTTGTTTCTTCCCAGAGTCTAAGGGCTATCCCTGCCACCACTTCGTTAGTTTTTAGTTTTTTCCATGGATGTAAAAGATGCAGTTATTACACAAAGCCAGTTTTACTTTAAAGTGCCGCCAGCAGTCTAAGCACCAGAGTAGAACGTGCTCTTGAATTCAAGAGAGCACAGTGGCGAGAGGCTAATGCAGCCTAAGGAACAAAACTGTACTTACCCGTGAGCCTGAAAAACTGGAAACCTCTTTTCTGGGACACTGTCCAGCATCTCCTGCATCCCACACACACAGTACTCCATCACCATATACGTGAAGGCAGAGTTAAGGAAGCTTCGAGGTTAAACACTTCTCAGGCCAACGCTGCGCGAGGGCTGCAGCCCCGTTCCAGTGCAGCTGGCGAGCTGCTGCCCAGGCAGTCCCGTTACCTGGTACGCACACTGGAGAGGCAGAGCCTGAGCTGTGCTGCGCCTCCTGCGCTAGCTGCCTTCCTCCAGCTGCCTCACAGGAGGAGGCAAAGAACCCACGAGGAAATTCTGCTGCTTAACGACCAGCTGCAGCTCCGTGATCAGACCTGAAACAGGACACGAACTCCACAGAAGTGAAGCTGGAGATCTCACAAGCACGACAGAAATAGGCTAATACTCTGAAGTGGCAACAAAAAGTTAGGGAACCTCCGGCAGGAAAGCTGTAGGCTGTAGCGTATTCTCCCAATACCCTGGCTGTTCTGCACTTGATGTAACAGTGACCTCCCATCACCTTCCCCACAGTTTGGTATTCTTCATTTCCCGTTCCAAAATGATACGGCTGTACGCACGGCTCTAACAGCTGCTGCTTACCCCCATCCCCATGGTAGGATTTCAGTAGCAGCAGAAAGAATCCCTAGAGAGCTGGGAAGCTTTTTGGAAACTGCATGGATAAAAAAAAGTTACAACGGAATGCCAAGAACTGGCAGCACTTTTTAGCATTTGTTCCCTTGCAGCATATTCTAGTTTTCATCTCCTTAAGCTTTAATGTTGGGGCCAGACAATGGAAACTACACCACTGCCTAAAGCAACAATTGCCTCTGTCTTCCTCCTCTTGCGTGCTGAGAGGGGCTCGCGAGAACAGACCCTGAGACATCTGGTGGCTCTGCCAAGGGAGTGCACCTCCGAGATAAAGAGCAGAGAAAAGCGCGACTGTCAGGCAGCCCATCAGACAAGCATTTCTTTGGTCCCTCTAATTATTCCTGGCAGATGCCTTCTTAACCTAAGCCTAAAATAAGTTGCTTATGCCCCAGGATGCCATCTTAACTCTTGAGGCAGGAGAGGCTAAAGAGATGACCTGCACTTTAAGTGGGATCTGTGCTAAAAATTGCGTTGCCCTTTTGTAGCACGTGCTATTGAGGAGCTCAAAGCACTGTCCAAACTCATTACATTTGCGCTGCGTTCCCCGTGTGAGCTGCTCTTCAGAGGTACACTAAAGCACTACAAGGTTTTATGATGGGCACAATGCCACCCAGTAAACCAGGAGAAGCAAGAATAGCAGAAAGAGCTCCCAAAATTCATTCCTACCGTTTCGTACTCTGGAAGAAATCTGTGAACTACTTATATCACAGTGATACGGAAGACATCAACTCCCCCACCCTCAAGAGAATAACGCTAACAGTAGATTATATAGATTAGCTCCCGGGAAGCAAAACCCAGGTCTCGTTCTCATCTACAAAGGACAGCCTGACTGGGATTGCATTTGCTGCCAGACTGTTTTTCGCCCCTTCTTTTGTAACCGATCCATCGCAGGTTGATCAGCCAGATAAGAGTACAAACTTCCAAGCTGGAGCAGATCTATTACAGGTGCCCCAACACGACTGAGGCTCTCAATTCTTCTAATCGATAGGGTTCTGCTCCCACGCACAACTGCACATACCGGTAACAGAAGCTGTCGAGAGAGGGTGCCAACTGGGATGCTGCTTATTGAACTGGGTTTATTTTCTGCCTGGATTAGTTCTCCATTCCTCGCTAGCTCTCCATTCCCAGCCACAGCAGGGCATCAAAGCAGCCCATTAAATACTAAACGCAGTTGACATTTTTAATCCAGTCATCACAGCTTTCCCTTTACCAAAGAAAATCATCGAAGGCTTTGACCAGGCAGGTAAGTTGTTAAAACGCCATCTGCCCAAGCATAAGCATGGCTGAAGCCTGCAGTTCTCTTCTATCAGCAACAGAAAACTCAGGTGAGGACAGAATCCTTCCTTCTTCTACTGGCCCAATTTCAAACGCCACGATGGTCGTTCTAGAAATGAGGACGTTTTTTTCATTAGTAAGGGGGAAGCTGACATCCCTCCCCTACGCCCCACGCAACTTTCACCTTGTATTGCTTCCTGCAAGGCGCTAATGCGGGCACCTGCATGGCTACCCAGTGAAATGAGTGAGGGAACGGACCTACAGAGAAGCCGGCCTAAAAGAGAAAGTTACTTTGCAGCTGGATCTGTTCCCAAACCCGTTTACCATGCGGCCGCACAAGCGTTCGCATTGCCGCATCCTCGGCCGTGCTGCACGGGCACCAGCAGCGCCAGTGAGAAGCTGGAGGAAGGCTAAGCAAGAACATCATCGTGGATGAATTCCTGCTCCAAGCCCCGGCAAAATCAGCACATCTCTCCAGGTACCGCCACTCGTGTGCACGGAATAAGCAGGTATAGAAACAAACTTTCCAAGAGCGTAGAAGCAGATAAAAATAGTGAAGTTAATCTATACTTGCGAGGGAAAAGTATTGAAAAACAATTTGTTCTTTTTCAAACGCTACCGTTCAGAAAGTAAAGCAAGGAACATCCCTCCGGGCTGAGAGAGGTCACATTTCTGAATGACCGTTTTGGGTTGTCATCACCTGTTACCAACACATGAGGTCTCTCTCGGGCTCTTTTTCCCCACGCTTCTCCTTTAGCATCCCAGCTCCGTATTAATCAAATGGTATCTTTCCATAGACAGTAATTGAATTACAGTCCCTTTGGTCTGTTAAGGCTACAAAACACAAGCAGAAGTTGTCATGCTTTTTTTACGCTAATGATTTGGTGGCAGAGTATTCGATCTAATTAAGGCACACAATTAAATTACCCATTTCATGAAGCGCTGTAATTGGAAGACAGTACTCAGAAAACTGTCAAAAATAAAAGCAACCATTTATAACACGTACTACAACAGACCAGCTCAATAAGCTTACAAACTGGTTCAAGTCCAAGCGCGCTCTAAGCGTGGCAGACTCATCAGAAATCCAGCTACTCGCAAGTTAAGGCAGGCAATTACGCTGGTTAGCATCTGCGCGTACTTGGGGAACACAGTGCACTGGAATAACATGTGACAGTCGGAAAGATGCACCGAGATCACAAGTCACACAAGAACCGAACAGTTTAGTCTCAAAAAGCTGGGCTGCAGATCTCGCAGGAACAATATGCTTTCGATCCCTCGTGACTGTGACAAGCTTTAGGGCGCTTACAGCACGATCACAGGGGGCTTCCACACAAACAACAAAACAGAGGAGGCTGGGGCAGGCTCGGGAGTTCATCTTCTCTCGTTACGGATAACCAGCAGCAAAGCAAACCAACTGCCCTCAGAGAGGGCAGCACTGCAGCAGTACAACCCTCCAAAGGAAGGAGAGAGTTGCAGGCATCCGGATGCCAGCAAACCAGTAGATTTTTTTTTTTTTCCTTCTTTTGAGGGAAAGAAAAAAAATACCTAAACCACTGCTAAGGACTTAAAAGAAAAAAGCATTACAAAAATTGATTTCACGTAGCATAGACAATAAAAGGTCCATTTTCAGGGGAAAAAAAAGCATTAACATATACCACAGCTAAGACAGGAGGTTAGAAATGACAGATCCACAGCTCTCTTTTCGTCTCCGAGTTGCTGAAGGTCACACAACAGAACACAGTCTTTGCGGGTCGGTTCTGCCCTACCCCAGCCCGGCATCTGTAACCTGGGGACAATATTTTGTTTCCTAACTGGGAAGCTGGGAAACTTAAGAAAATGTATTTGCGTGGAAAGTATTCCAGACATGCGGTATGTTTAATACCAGTGAAAGCAATTTTAAGCTTAAGAAACATTCAAAAGGGCCTTAACAAAAGCAGAACGATAATGATTCAGCACTATAGCAGAGAACAACGGGAATTCAAACCTTATTAACAACTGCGTGAAAAAAAGGATATATTTTCTGCTTCTCTTCGTTGTATAATACATCTACCAACTGGATAACGTTTTTGTGCCGTAATCGTCGCAGGAGCTGAATTTCCCTGCAGGAAGAGAAAAGGAAAAAAGTTATGTTTAAAAAGCTTATTTCCTTACTATGGAATGAAATTAATGTTTTCTAAATCACATGGATTTTAAAGACACTTCAAACCCTGTTAGTCCCAGCTGCTTCACCCAAGACTACCTACGCACGCTGTTCGACAGAAGGTCTTGTGTGCTCTTGAATTCATTAGTCCAAGGTTAGACCATGAAAATACTTACTGGTCCCTGACCAGGACTATAAACAAGCACCCTTTCAGTTAACGCTACACAGCCAGCCAGTTTTCTCTGGGCAGGAATTTTAGTCCATTGGTAAACAACAGCAGAAGTCTTCTCAAGGAGCAACCTACCGTTGTGCCAGACATGAAACCGGTCGTGAGAACGCCCCGTGCCAATGCTTTGGTGCCATTCAACGCGGGCTGCGTTACTTCTGCTAATACAAAGTTTTATCCTGCGCTCCAACGTAAGCTTTACTCTAGTTTTACCCATAAAATCTGTGCAGTGCTCCCCTTTAGCTATTTGACTGGCCAACAGTAGGACGTTGACAGCCAAAACAGCCCCATTCAAAGCGAGTAGGAACAAGACAACGGCCAGCTTGACCCGAAGCGCATCATGCTGAGCCAACCCACAGAAAACAACGCCTGGCGCGATCCTGCCGGACCCTCGACGCCAGGCTGTGTGGAAAGAGAAAGCGACCCAAGACACGCTCTGCAAACCCCCTGCCTCCGCAGGCAGCACCGGCTCCGGACCTCCAAGGGCCTGGCGCAGCAAGCCAGGCCTCCTCCTCCTCCCACCCATACAAGAGGGGTTCAGCTGTCCCCTGCGGCCCCCTCCTCAGCCCACGCCCTTCCCCGTGGCCCTGGGCAAGTGCCTCGCCATTCCCAGTTAAAGCTAGTGCTGGCTATAGGAAAGGTATAATCGGAACCGAAATGCTGCCCTGTCAACCGCTCAGGCAAGCCAAGGCCTACCCCGATTTGCTCTGTGTGTCAAAGATGTGGCTTCATCAGCTTCCCTCCAATTAAAGCTTTCCAAACGATGCTGGACTGTTGGGAGCTTAGCTCACCCCCAGCCTCTTCAGTTAAACCCTAAAGATGTGCTACCTTTGTGTTTACCATAATATCTAGGACAGTCGCTTCCAAGACAAACCTTTTATGTTTGCACTTCGTGCTTCTTTACACGTGTCATCTGTAGTTGCAAGAGCAGAAATAAATTTGCTTGGGCTCCCAGTCTTCATGCTTCAGGGGATGTTTTTAATCAGCACCAGGACCAGGACCAGGACCAACCCCCCCGCTGCCAGCGTAACGCAGCGCCGTGCGGTCAGGTCCGCTCCCGCTGTCACAGGCAGCGGTGCCCGGTGCCAACTGTGGCAGAGCAGTTAACGCGCTCTATAGCCCATTTCAGCACAAATTCTGTTGTTTAGCTGGGAAGCAACTTAAATGTTAGTTACGTGAAAAAACAAACAAAAAAAAGAAATAAAAAGTTTCTATACCTAACAAGCAATTCCTTCTGATAGTTGTCGTATTGTGAATGGATAGAAGTCATTTAAACAAACATCAGAAACTGGCTAATCTACTAAAGACACAAACAAATGACACTAAATTGATTCTTTATTATACCACATGAAAATCGTCTGGAGAGGGGCTGTTCAGCAGAACATGGTTTTCTACATAATGTATAAACTACAGAAAAGCAGGAGAGGCACCTCGCTAGCAAAGAGAAGCGCATCACCAGCAGCACCGCGCCGTGCACGCGGTCTGCAGCCAGAAAAGGGAAGGCAGCCAACGTGCCGAGGCTGCCGAAGGGGCAGCGAGTCGCCAACGCTCCCGACCCGAGAAGCCCCGCACCAAAAGCTCCCTGCGGCCAGGAGAGGAGCGCGACGGATGCCGGGGCTGAGGGATGGGAGGACTCCAGAGAAGTTCCCAGGTGGGAGATGCCTCAGCCCCTGCAGAGCTGGCCTTGGCTGGGTCCCAGCCCCCCCAAATGCTGCCTCAGCACCCCTCCGGCTCACCTCCTCGCTCCTGATGAGACCTCCACAGCAACACAACCCCGCTCCCCGCCGCACGAACCACGCTTAGAGCTGCTGGAAGTCACGCAGAGTTTAACAGCTACAGGCTGCCCACCCCCGAATACAAGGAGCTGCTCGGTGTCGGGGTTGCAGCCCGAAGACCCCCGAGCTGGCCAGCCCAGCTGTGATCAGTGTGAGTGTCTTTACAGCAGCGTTAGTACAGAAATCATCCTGAAGACACGTCAAATTCCTCATATGCGGTAGCCAGCTATTGAGGCAATTTCACAGTGCCCTTTTTTAGAGCGATAACTTTCAGGAGAATTCAGAAATGAAGCCACCGATGCAAGAACTGCAACATTAGTCTCAAGAATTAGTCAAAACCAGGAGTTCCAGCTAGTAACTCCATTTCTTCCAAACTTTAGTTCTAACTTAACTTGACTGAGCGATTCAGAGATCTGAATTGAATCCTCTGTGGAGAATAAATAATGTAAAACTGAGCGAGGAGACATCTTCCCTTGGCTAGGAAAATGGTCCCTTGTATGTCACCTCACATCAGCTGTTTTGATCTTTGTCTCTTGGGATTTGGTACTGTGCTCCAAACCACATTTTAGTATCTTTTGCATTGAACTCAGCCTGCAAAATCCCACTGGATGCCAGCTGTGAAGAGAAACAGGCGGATCAGGACAGTCAGGTCAGGGTGGTTCTGTCGGTGTGTCTGCAAGTGCAGGTACTGCTCTTGACTTTGTTCTGCGGCTGCTCGATTCTGGGCTTGCGCTAAACTGCACAGAAACCGCACACAAACTCTTCTTTCCAGCTTCCTTCTCTTGCCATTTGGGAAGTTGCTTTAAGAAGCATGGTTACATTTCAACAGTTAGGACTCTTGAAAGCAGCGTTACAAGGAATTCAGAGCACAGCTTGGGAAGCGAGAGCCTCTGCCCAAACACATGACACAGCGAGCTCAGAAAGCCACTCGCCCCTTGCCTGCGCAATTAGCCCGCCTCTAATAACAGGCTGTGGCCAGTACAAAGGCTCGTTGATGCATCGCATCTGATTAACAAACCAGTAACTGCTCCTTCGAAAGGCTCATAAGATGCAGGAATGAAAGCAGGTTTTTAAAACAT